ATAAACAAGTGATGTTAAAATACTGGCCCCCACAGAAAGTTTACTTTGGCACGGCGCCGTGGGCCTAGCCCTGCGGGGTATTATTAACAAAAATCCTAGGAAGCTTGTTATTTTCTTTGCAAGAGGGCTATGTTGAGGATGCTGCTTGTGAATTGCAGCATGGGTCCCAAGGACCCCTGGAAGAAGTGTCTCTTTGGCTTGAGTCCCAGGAATGGCTGCGTTCCTCCTGGGAAACTGGCTTCTTTTTATCTTTTGGACTCGGCATCATGGAGCCGATGCTGTTTTCAAAGAATCGGGACTTTGTACCCCGTAGAACACTGTGGACGCTCACCTTACCCTGGCCTCCCTGTTTTTTCTTCTCCCTTTTTCGAAATCCCCAAGATGTCTTTCACGTGCTTTGTCTGCCTTATTTTTTTTTTGCTCAAGACGGACGCCCCTGGCTTTGGTGCGCAGCCCCACGACGTGTAAAGTGGCAGTTGAGTGCTCCCTGTCTTGGGGCAGGGGGTGCTGCTGCTCTCTCCGGAGCCCCAGAAAAGGATTTCTGGCCAGTAGCCCCATTTCCTGGGTGGTGCCTGTTCCTGCTGCCCTTCTTGTCCATGTCGATCAGGAATCCCAGGATGCTGCTTGTGGGTCGCAGCTGTGAAGCAGCCCAGCACCCAGGGACAAGCCCCCCAAATCCTCCATGGGAAAGGGATCCAGGAGACACCTTTCTCAGCCCCAGATGGTGGGCTCCCTGCATGCTGGGGGCCCGGCAAGATGCATGGAGAGGTGGTATGGATCCATCCCAACCAGGGCAGTCCCACACAACAGCCAAAGCCTCTCCGGTTGGACAGGGGCCCTCCCATCATGGTCGATGGCTCACCCTATGGGGCCCCCACCCTCCACCCGGGGTGTGTGGCCCCGGGGGGACGCTGGGCACACAGGGACCAGGAACAGGGTTCTCACCTCTGACCGCTCCCCTCACCCACCCTGAGCAAGGGGCTGCTCTCACTTTCCAGGGAGGTCCCTTCTGTCCCTTCGGTCCTGTGCCGAGGATCAGCTCGACCCTTTCGGGATGTTTTCAATCACTGATTCCAGAGAGGGGCTTAGCCTTAGCCGCAGGCCGCGGGCAAGCCAAGATCCTGTTACGAAACTGCTCATTTCACATGTCCGGGGGTCACGGGCTGCCAGGCAAGTCAATCCCTCTCGTGTCGCCGGGCCGCCCCCAGCTGAGCAGGGGCTGGGGCTCAGGAAGTTGGGGCTCAGCCCAGTCCTCGCCCCGGGTTCCCCGAGCCACCCTGTGGAAGGAAGGTTGCCTTGTGCACTTTCAATGTCCCCTGCATTCGGTGGGGGAACCGACTGAGATCAGGAACGAGGGGACCGACTCTCCAGGTAGGGGGCGGCGTGGGCAGGTGGCGCCCAAGGGATCCTCTAGAATCCGGGGAGGGTCCTTCATGTCCAGATGATCTCCCAGCAGCCCTTGGCACCCTGGCAACGAGGAGGGGCTAGACTCTTGTATTTATTGTGATGACGGAACAGATCTCCCATGGTGTCTGTTCATGTCTGCGCCCATCACCACCGTCTCCAGGGCGTCGTCTCCATCCTCCCAAACGGAAACCCCGGAGCCAGATTTTGGAAAAGCCTCCCCCGCAGCAGGTTTTCATTGCAATCCCATATGGGTTGTTGAGGGGGGAGAAAGATACGTAGGGGTCTGAAGGGACTCCTCTGGTGGGGCAGAGGCAGGGACAGGAGGCCTCCAGCGGGGACTGTGGTGAGCCAGGGGGACAGCGGGGTCACCTGCAGGGGGTGGGGGATGCTGTGCGGAGAGAGCACTCCCGGGCAGGAACACCTGGGGCTTCAAAGGGAAATTTTTTCCTGGGGTCTGACTGTGGAACAGCCAGTTCCTGGTCGGCAGGGGGCCGCGGGCTGGGGACGGAGGAGGGACAGGACGGCTTTGAGAAAGTCCTGGCTTCCCAAACCACAGAGCGGGGACAGAAGTATGTGAAGCATGTGTGACTCTCCTCAGAAGGCACCGGCCCTCGGTCTACCCGATCCCCTGGACGGACTTCAGACAAATTGCGAGCCTGCCCACAAGCGCTCTGGTGGGGATGGCACAGAGAGCAGATTTGCTGACAGATTAGGGCGCAGGGGGGCTGGGGTGAGGGCAGGTCACCCAGGAGCGCAAACGGTCAATCACCAGTTAATGAGGTGCCGCTATTCCTAGTTCTAGGGGAGCGGTTGGGGCCGGGGTTGGGGTGGGGGTGGGGGCAAGTTCAGGAGAAACCTCCAGAACACCTGGAAGCCTGGAAGGCTGCTAGGCCTGGCTCCCCAGAGGCTGCCTGCCGGAGAAGGAACAGGGGGGCCAAGCTCCTGACCCCGTGGGAGGGCTTCCTTCATCAGAAGTCCTCACGTAATCCCCAGGAGGGGGTGCTGTTGTTGTCCCTACCGCACAGCAGGGGAAATTGAGGCACGGAGCAGTGACCTGTCCGAGGTCACACCGTAAGGGAATGCTAGAGAGAGCATCGGGGTGGGGTCCATCAGAACCAGAACCCGTCTGTCCCTGCTCCCCAACGTCCCGGGTGACCTTGGGCGCACTCGTCACTTCCTGCCAATGACCCATATTCATGCAGCACCTTCTCGTGGGTTACTGGCTTGGCTTCTACAACTGTATACAGTTGGAGCAACAGATAGATTTGCCCTCGTTTTGCAGAGCAGGAAACTGAGGCCCAAAGCTGTTTGGTTTGTGTTGTGGGCTGAAACGTATGCCCCCCAAATTTAATTTAAAAAATTTTGTTTAATGTTTATTTTTGAGAAAGAGAGAGAGAGAGAGCACAAGCAGGAGAGGGGCAGAGAATCTGAAGCAGGCTCCAGGCTCCAAGCTGTCAGCACAGAGCCCGACACGGGGCTCGAACTCACAGACCTTGAGATCGTGACCTGAGCCGAAGTCGGTCGCTCAACCTACTGAGCCGCCCAGGCGCCCCCTGTAGGCCCCCCAAATTTATATATTGAAGTCTTAACCCTCAGGACCTCAGAATGTGACTGTATTTGGAGACAGGATCTGTAAAGGTGGAATTAAGTTAAAATGAGGTAGTTCAGGGGGACCCTTGATCCCAAACCGCTGGTATAGAAGAGATTAGGACACAGAGGCACACAGAGCAGAGACCACGTGAAGACACGGCCAGAAGACTGCCATGGGCAAGCCACGGAGAGAGGCCTCAGGAGAAACCAATTCTGCCCACACCTTGACCTTGGACTTCTGGCCTTCGGAACTTCGAGAAAATGAACTTCTGCTGTCTAAGCCCCCAGTCCTGGCATTTGTTACAGCAGCCCAAGGTGCCTCTGACACTCTGCTCCTTCACACCGTGAGTGGGGACACCAGGTCCTGCTTCCCCCGGCCTTGGGGTTACTGTACATAGTAAGGAACATCATAGATTCCCGTCCCAGACCCGAGTGGAGCACGGAGGGGCCAGCCGAGCAGGGACAGGGTCCTAGCCGGGGGCAGGGCCCACACAAGTGGAGACCAGGGTGGCTGACTTCACACGGAAAGTTCCACCTCCCTGAACAAACTGGCAGAGAAATGAAAAACAAAAGCATGACTTCATACCAGCCTCCTCCCAACTCAGACAGGGTGACGGTGTATTTACATGTTGATTCGTTCCGGGCTTAGAGATTTGAACCCGTTTGCTGTGGTGGTGGTTTCTTCCAAGTTCATGATCTGAGCCCTGTCGTGGAGGGAGGGTCTGGACGGAGGGGGTCTGCACCTGGCAGGCCTCAGTCCCACACGGCCAGGGGCTTCCCGGGCTCCACGCTCTGGGCTGGAGGTGAAAGGAGGAAGGTTGGGGCGTTTGGGGTGCAGGGCACGCCCTTTGTGGACCCCATCTACAAACGGCAGGACGGCAACCCTCTCCCCACCCTGGAGGGGTGGATGGCCGCCCAGTGCTGTAACTTCTCTGCTTAGAGGGGTCCCCCAGCAGACTCATGGGGGCCCTATGCCTTCGCCACCCGGATCTTGGCAGGTGTTGTGCTGGGTGAACTGTGGGAGCCCCCCGATGACTCACCTTTTCCACTTCTCCCTCAGCGGGCAACGCGGGGTGTGGGGGCAGAACCCAGAAATGGGACAACGGCACCCTCACAGCCCCCTAGGACAGACTCTTCCTCACTCAGAACCCTCAGCAGAACCCACCCCGGAGATTTTTGGTTTTCTTTCTGGGACCCTGTTTCCCTCCCTCCCCACCACCCAGCCTGTCCACGGCCCGATTCTAGTCGATGTATTAATTCCAGGGTTCAAGTACTTTCCCACAGAGGTCCCGAGGGAGTGGCCAGCCTGAAGGGGTCCTTCCCGTTTGGGACCCCCTCCCCCTACTCGGAAAAGCAGAAGCAAGATGTGTGGAGAGGAGGGGGCGGGAGCCTGTGTGGCCAGTCAAGGGGCAAACTGTGGGGCGGGGGCAGGGGACCCCAGGATCACAGAGTGAGGGGGGTTTGTAAAGCTGGAGCACGAGCTTGAGCCAATGGTCAGAACTCTTGGGAGCAATTCAGGCTGCCGCAGCCCCTCATCCCTCTTCCCGCCAGGCGCCTCGGTCTGGGTGCAGTGGGGGGGTAGACATCTTTAGTTTCCTCATCTCCACGAAACCCTGTCCGAGTGTCCAGGAGCCCAGCCCACAGCGGAGGACAGCAGCCGAGGCCTCTCCCTGTCGAGTATCTCTATGCCCATCTGAACAGCCGGGGTCCGTCCAGGCTGCTCCGTGGTTCAGGATTCTGGTGGGGAGCCCCGGGCAGGGGGCAGAAGTTATCCGGGCCACTGCTAGTGTCCCGCAGGCTCCCATCCTGTCTCACGGGGGAGGGGAGGCTGGACACTGAAGTGTGGGTGGGCAGGTGTCCGGAGCGAGGACCCTCTTATTCCCAGAAACCCCACCACCTTCAGGACAGGCTCCTCCCTCCCTTGCCCCTGGCTCAGACCCCCAACAGGGTAGACCCAGGGTCCCGGAGAGGGCGGAGGCCACAAACAAGGTCCACGGGTTCACCCAAGGGGGTGAAGGGAGCCAGGCCCCTGGGTCTGCCCAGCCCCGGGAGCAGGCTGGGCGCGGGAGCGATGGTCTTCAGCCCTGACGGCTCCTTCCAAGTCTCCTCCTCCACTGCCTCGGGGTCCGCGTATTCCCGAATCTTCTGAGCCCCCATTACACGATCAAGCGGGCAATGTGTCCCTAAGGCCCAGCCCATCTTTTCAGAGGGGCCTTTCCCGTAAACCCCAAGGCCAAGATCAGCCAGAGAGGCAGACTCATGAACCCTGG